ACCGTTTTTTGGAAAGCGAATGGAATAAAGTTTACTTTGTTTTATTAGCATTTAAGTTAACTTATTACATTTGAACCAATTCGATACATGTCTAAGCTCTTTGTTCAATGTTTTAAAAAGATCAAAGATATCACTGTAAGAAAGGAATAAGTTAGCATCATCTGCAAACATAATACTTGTTAGAGGCTTCATTTAAATCATCAATATAAATTAGGAAAAGGAATAGGCCAAGAATTGAACCTTGTGGGACTCCACATCTTACAGAAAGACAATTGGTGTGATAACCGTCATTACTTCAAACACTATGGAATAAAACTTTATTTTTTATTCCATAGTGTTTGAGCCAATAGATCAAAATATGGGGATCAACTGTATCAAAAGCTTTTGATAGGTCAATAAAAAGTCATAGAGCAATAGCCAATCCCATATTTTTTTTCGACAACCAACTTTTATGCAGAGTGGTTAATGAGTGGCGTAGAGGTTATATTTATATAAAAAAATTTATATTTTAAATTTTTCTTGATAGGTTTTTTTTTTGTTTTTAGCCTCCTGAGAATTCAGAGTTCAAACGCTGCAAATGTGCAATAAATATTTTTATACATATAAATTTTCTGCTAAAGACAAGTATCTGAAAAAACTATGGAAAAAAGTAATTTATAATGTACTTTTATGGTTCAGAGTTTGCAGTTAGATATCAGATTAAAATCAATTTATTAGAAACATTCAATAACGAGAAAGCTGTTGCCGTAGCTACTCCTTGAATTCATTTGCCTTCTTTTTTTTAATGGCTATTTTACAAGAACTCTTTATTTAAAATAGCTTTTCAAAGCTCATCACACGTTCTTTATTATCTTGAATAAATTTTACTATTAGCATTTTTTTATTACGAAATATTTTTCTTAAAACAAGGAAAACGTTTCTCGTTTTAAAAAATAAATATCCTGCCCTGCAATTAATTTTTAAAAACAAGAAATATATTTTTTGTTTTCAGAAATAAATTCCTTAACCTATGCCTAATAAACTTACGATTTTGCTGTAATTTCTGATAAGTTGTTAGCAATTTTGAAAAATTTTAAAAGTTTAGGAATTGGTTGTAACCAAAAGTCTGAGGGAGTCTCATCCGTAGAAATTTTTTAAAGTATGACTTAGAATATAAAAAATTAACCACTAGTCTGGTGAAATATACAACTCAAGACCTATTGACTGATCTTTATCAACAAAAACTGCATTCAGAAGGATTTTACATTTGATTCTATCCATTTTTACATCATTTTAGACCTGCCTTTGTGTTTGAATACAGAACATTTTACCATTTTTATATTGTGATCTCAGTTAAAAGATGCTAACGCTAGCACTAAGCACCTATAAGGTTTTGCCATGATTTGATTTTTACCTCTGCACCAGGCTCAATATACATTTGCCAATAGTCTTGTTGCTCTAAAAGTGTAAGTAAAAAATAATGCAATGTAGATAAAATAAGGTTCAAAGTGACATTGCTGTATACTAAATACATTTATTTTAGACAAGATAAAATCAAAGTGCTATTTCTATTGATTTTTTTTTTTTTTTTTTTTTTTCTTGTTTATTTTGCCGTTTAATAATATACAGTTTCAAAGCATATAAATAAAAAGAAATATTGGCGGGGCAAGAAGAAGACTTATTTAGCTTTATCACCGAGCCCCATTCTCACGTATTTACAAAAACCGTAATATTTAAATATCTATTGTTAACAAACTATTTATTAAAAAAAGAAAACTATAAAAGTAAAATTGATAAAAATTCGTTGTCATTTAAATAAAAAATAAAAAGAATCAATAAAAAGAATCAAAATTTAAAGAAAAAGTAAGATCAAGTAAAAAAATTAATAAATAAGATATTACCATTTGCTTAAAACTTAAAAGTTTAAACTAAGATATAATAAAAATTGAAAATATAATAAGTGAAAAAAAAAAAAAAAAGTATACCATAGAAATAACAATACCATATAATACAATACCATAGAAATAACAAAAATAAATTAGTATACTTCATAGAAATAACGTAAATAAATTAGCTAACGCCATAGAGGTAATACCATAATTAAGGTAATGAAAAAATAATATTGATACACTCAGTGACATAATTTTTGTATTAATAATTTTTCGTATTTGAGTTTTAGTTAAAAAAAACATTTAAAATCAGATATATTAAAATCCATGATTAAGAATGCCTGTTTTGATTCATTTTTAAATTGTTCTATACTAGTTTTATGTGTATTTACAATCTTGGAAAACATTTTCCACAAGTAAGGTCCACGATAAAGAACTGAATATGAAGTTAGTTTTGAATTATATTTTGGGACAACAAAGTTGTTATTTAAAAAATTTTGTTGGATATTTATGAACTATTTTGTCAAAATAGGATTGAAATATTTTAGGAGATAATCCTATATTTGTTTTTACGTGAACATTAAAACTTGGTGTAAGTTGATTTTATATATATTTAGTGCTCCAAGTATACGCAGAAGAGGCTCACAAGGTACAGTTCTGTCAGCTCCAAATATTGTTCTGCACGCGTGTTTTTGTTTGCAGTACAATTTTTTTTAATTTTGTATGGTTTGTACTTGCCCATGCAATATTGCAATAAATTAAGTAACAATGAATAAAAGAGAAATATAAACTTTTTAAAGAATTATTGTTTAAAAATGGTTTAGTCCTATATATCATTGCTAAATTTTTTCATATTTTATTTTCAATACTTTTTATTTTTATATAAATTCCAACGTAAATATTCATCTAATATTACGCCTAGAAAGTTTACTGAGATTTCTATTTTAATGTTAGTGTTATTGATTATTAAATTAGACAATTTGATGGGAATATTTTTTGAATTATTCACTTTGTGGAACAAAATTTGGTTTATCCACATTCAGATTTCATTTTTATTTCTACTGATCATAAGAAAAGTTTGCCATTTGAAAAAAATCGGTTTAGAGTTATTTTTGTATTTTAAATCTGATTTTAAACCATTGTTTTTAAACAACTTGTTACCTGTGACACAAATTATTCTTAAATAATAAGACAAAAATATCAAAACTTACAAAACTAAGTTTTACTTTAAAAATTGCAGAAAAAAGTCGCAGGTCAAAAACCGCGATTCCCTAGAGAGAAAAATTTAGTAAGCTTTCTATTTTGAGTATCTTTGAGTATTTTATTACTCAGAATAAAAACCTGTCTGAGAAATGCAACTTGAATTTTATGAAAGTCAAGGCGTGTAAAACATCTTTATTTTTGTTCACTTTCACCTAATGGCCTGATTTTTAGCTACAAGTTAACAATAATCTTTTTTTCACAAAAAAGTGAGACTTTTATTTCTACCATACTATTTTTCAACCTTTTATTGTTTTATGATATAAATAGTTTATTCCCTAGTTAAAGAGTTTAGTTAGTTAGTTAGTTAATTTAAGTTACACAAAGCCACAGCCTTATTTAACTCATCATCAACTGAGTATACGCATCTATACCCAACTCGTATTTCGGCCACCTTTGTGTGGCATTTACGGTAAATGATGAGTTGTAGCAACTATGATGACTGAAAACTGTCCAGTAGTTGCTTAAATTTATCAAGTGATGTTGCCTTGATGACATTATCTGGCAAAGCATTCCAGTCATTTACTACATGGTTGTTAAAAAACTTATGTCTGATTTCGCAGTTCCTGACAATCTCGCGATGAAATCTGATTTGATGTTGAGCTCTGGGTGCTATGCATTACGGCATTGCCATGCACTACGTGCCAATCAATTAAATTTAAATTGTTGAGAAGCTTATATTTTTGATTAAGATCGCCTCTTTTCCGTCTGTCTTCAAGAGTAGTTAATTTCATGATTTTACATCGAGTTTTGTAGTCTTTATTTTTCAAAGCATGAAGAACTTTTGTGGCGTTGCGTTGTACCTTTTAAATTTTTTTTACGTCACTATCAAGGTAAGGGTTCCAAGCTTGTATGGCAAACTCTAGATATGGTCTAATAAATGCAGTATAATTTTTTTTCCAAATGTCAATGTCTCTTGATACAAACGTGTGTTTAAGAATTCCAAGCATATTATTTGCTTTGTTTGCAGCTATATTGCATTGATGAGCAAATTTAAGATTTTCGGAGATAAGAATTCCGAGATCTTTTTCAGAATTTGTGACTTCTAAAACTACCCTATTGGTTGTACCGTCATTTTTGATTTCAGCCATAATGTATTCAAATTTTATTGTTCCAAAATTTACATGCATAACTTTACATTTTTTTTATTTAACTCCATTAGCCAGGTTTGCGTCCATTTAACAATCGTCTAGATCGGATTTTAAACCTGCTCGGTCTTTATTAACTTTCATGAGTTTTGTGTCTTCAGCATACATTTTGCAAATGGCTGATTTGACGTGAATTGGCAGATCATTAACAAATATGACAAAGAGCATTGGTCCTAACACAGAACCTTGGGGAATCCCGCTAGTTCCATCAATCCAGTTAGATTTTGATTCTCCAAGTATAACACGCTGCTTGCGGTTTGTTAAGATGGCTTTTATCCAGTTTAGAAGATTGCCAATTATACCATACATTTCAAGCTTTTGCAGCAATCTTACATGCGAAACTTTATCAAATGCCTTTGCAAAGTCAAGAAAAATTAGGTCGACTGTTTATTTCTTTTATTTGCCAAATTGTCAAAAAGTCTATTGTTTCTAAAAGATTTGATGCAAGTCTTTTTTGAAACGTTTATACGTTATAAAGAGTAATACGGCTATATGAAGCTATTTTTTTTTTTTGTAAATTTATTTGCCTTCAAATTCATTTATAATCATTTATATATAATACATTCATTTATATATAATATATAATCGGTCGACGCTGTCGAAAATGGTCTAAAATAGCCCCTCATAGTGTATAAAATAATCGATGATTTATATTATTATTACTAATATTCTAAAACAAAATTATTTATATTTTATTAATTTAAATTTTTAAACATATTAAAAACTAAAATATGATTAAAAATAATTCGTATTATTAAAATTAATTTGTTTATTTTAAAGCATATTTATAAAATAGCGTTAAATATTTAATTTATTACTTTTTAATAATCGTTTATATTTTATTTAAGATATTAAACTTTTTTCTGTTATAAAGTTTTTCAATTTATCGAGGTTATCAAAATATTTTCCACGGTAGAAGATTGACAACTTCTTGATATTTGAACAACGAATCCATTCAAAAATTTCTTCAAAAAAATCGATGTCTTCGTGAAGCGCAAGAATTAATCCATTACAAAGCTTAATCCACGAAAGAAAATTTTCTTCAAAATCTTTTTTCGTTATTAAATAACTTGAGATGTTTATCGACAACCATTCAATCTTATTCTTCGGTTTACATTCTTCGAATTTAATTGGACAATAAAAGTGGACATCGCGAACATTTGTTGAACATTGAATTATAAGATTTTTTTCTTCATCACTTAAAATATTTTTATGAACACGCAACTCCGATAACTTTCTTCCAGATTTAATGTAATGATTTACGAAATAATTTTTACAAGAAGTTTCGTAAAAAGTTTTTCCATTGTTAATTGAAATCTCCCGCCACAACTTTCTTTCATCAACGATAAATTTTATTTCATCAGTAAATGACGATTGGCTTTCATAAAAACATTCAATGAATAAATTAATGTAATAAGTTTCAAGTAGATCATTGTTTGGCTTGTAATAATGCTCATAATAATCGTAATAAGTATTCAAGTAATTAGTTTGACGAGATAATTCAAGTAGACGATCTAAAGAAATAAGTTATGTAAATAAACAATAAAAAACTCAGAATGAGAGTTAAAATATTCCATTTCAACGTTTGTTTGAAATTCAAAAGAAAAAAAAAAAAAAAAACAACAACAACAACAACAACTCACAGAGAACTATTTTAATACTTTATAATATAAAATATTTTTTATAATGTAAATAAAAAATTTTATTTATAAATAAAAAGTTTTATATATAAATAAAAAATTTTATTTTTAATTTAAAATAAATTTTTTTTATAATTTGTATAATTTAAAATATAAAATATATTATGTGATGCAATCTCCGTATAATAAGAGGAAACAAATTTGACAGAGAAATAAAAAATACTTATAAATAGAAATAAGAACAGCTCACAATAAATAAAAGGTGATAATATTAAAACTTATTATACCAGGGTTGTTAAAACATCGCTACCAGGGTTGATAAAGCATAGCTACCAAAATTGTTAAAGCATAGCTGCAAGAAATATTTAATCATTGCTACCAGGGTTGGCGTCAAAAACATTTGAACAAATACGTTAATTCTAGATTTCCAAACAAAAATTCAAATACAAAAATATGAAAGCGGTATTTTTTAAACCTAATATTCATATATTTTTTTTTTTTAATTTGCATTCACTCCCAACAAGGCTGCAAGCAACCACTATTAAATTGAGAGTTACTAGGAAAAAAAAAAGAACAGAGTTATAGAGCAAGGAAACGGTTGACAGAAGACTTGAAAAGTTGAAGGTTGTATGAGTCAGGAAAACATGAAGATGGGAGAGAGTTCCAAAGGATTGAAGTGCGGGGAAAAAAACTAGATGAATAAAAGTTTTTAGAGCATGCAGGGACAGATACAGTAAACGAATAATAATGCACAATAAATATTCTTTAGTGTGAATTTATCGGCATAATGATGAATTATTAGAAAAGCGCCGTTAGCGCGAGTTAGTTTTTTTGCGTAGCTCATCAATATGAAAATTCCACGAGAGATTGAAGCAATCAAAACACTGAGTAATTTGATAACTTTTGTAGGATATACTGTTTATTATTAATTTTGATTTGAATTTTAGAATTTTTGTTTAGATTGCGTTTTTTTCTAGAAGATGAAAAAAAGATCAGTTCATTTTTTTTTTCGTCAAGACATATTAAGTTAGCATTTAACTAGAGAACAATACCTTTTAGATCCGAATTTATGTTTTTATATAGAGAATTATACGAATTGTTAATAAATTTGACAATAGGGGTGTATCATAAGCAAAAAGATGAATTGACTAGAAGCGAATAGAGTTATTTATGTCATTAATAGAAATTAAGAACAAAAAAGAGGACCAAGAACCTGTTCTGTTTAAATTGAATGCTATTTGGGTCTATTGATTTTCTCGACTTCAAATTAGATATAAGAGATAAAACCTCATGAATATTTGTTGGAGATAGGAGTAAACTATGTCAATTTGGTAACTTAAGTTATTTTGTATAGTTTATGTAAGACGAATGAATATTGGATTTAAGTTTTTGTGCGACGTTTGTAAAAAAAGTATTAAACTTTTCAGAGATAAGATTTGGTTTAATTATATATGTTTATAGTGATTATTGCTTTTGACATTTATTAAATTATTAACTCCACTCCAAATTTTGAGAAGATTTTACATTTTCTGTAAAGTAGTTTTTAAAATGCATTTTTTTTACTGAGCTTAATTAAGGTAATTATCATGTATTTATATTGTTTGAAAGTAGTTTTAAATGTGTTTATGTTTCTAATATCTTTTGATCTTAACATTATTTTTTAAAGATTGCGTATTTGAATGGATTTTAAAATTCCCTTTGTAATCCAAGATTCAAATCGACGCTTGAGGTTTTTATATTAACTTTTTTAAGTTGGGCGTAACAATTCAAATCAGGGTTGTTTCTGATATAAACGTTTGCAAACAAGAGTTAACATCACTGTTCTCTATAAGGTTATTGCAATTAATTTTAAAAAAATCTGATTTGAAGTTTATTTTATCAAAGTTTTTAAAATTTCTGTGATATAAAATGTGATTGCGTGGTATAAATAACTTATAAAAATTAGGACAAATACAAAATTGAGGTAAGTGATCAGAAACTAAAGTTGTCAAATTTCCTGAAATAATTTCATTAGTTATTAAATTAGAAAAAATATTGTCAATGATTGTAGCAAAGTGGTTAGTAATTCTGTTTGGCAAAGTGATAAAAGGGTGAATATTATAAAAAGAAAGCAAGTTCAAAAAATCAGACGTTGCAGTGTAATTATTTGATTGCATCAGATCAATATTATAATCACCTAGTAAGAAAACAGATTTATTTTCAGCATTTATTTATTTTGAAGAAGGACAGACATTATAATTGTTAAATCCTTTATATCCATGCAAAGGCGTTTATAAATGCAACCAACAATAATATTAGATTTATTAGAAAAGATTATTTCAACAAATGTTGATTCTAAACAATATGGTGTATAAATCATTAAATCATTCCTTCCTTTATATATTAATTTTTGATAAGTATAACAATGTTCTTCCACAAGAAGATTGAGTTGGTGTGTGCTTAATGTTGTAGCTATCATTGTGGATTGGATGAATTGATGGTGTTCATTTTTTTAACCGTGTTTCGGTTATACTAATAATGGAAAGTTCAAAACTAATCAAAGATAGTAAAACCTTTAATTTTTAAAAGTGTTTTTGCAAAGATGATACATTTAGATGAAATAAAGAAAGATCGTTAATTTTGTCAAAATTTAGTTAACAGAATTTACTTATATTATAATATTTTCAAACTATGTCTATTGATGCATGGATTTCCACATCTGAATCTAAAACATGAGACGAAACATAACCGTTAATCATCAGTTGTAAGAATTTTGTCAGAAGAAAATAGTAATTTGAATTCGTTATCTGGTACATTTGGAATGGAAAGATGCTCTTTGTACAACTTACACAATGCTACTGTGAGCAACTTAATTGTAGTAAAATGTACTTAGTATCAAGACTGCTGCATTTTGAATGAGTCCAAAACAAACAAATGTCACTATAAAACACATAAAACCACAGTCATCACCAAGTTCCCTAAACCTATCATTCACCAATATTCATGGTCTTCGAAGTAACTTTTCTTCTGTTGAGTCTTATCTCTTGCAAAGTTCACCAGACCTACTTGCTCTTTGTGAGACTAATTTGAGTTCAGCTGTCTCATCTTGTGATCTTAGTGTTGATGGTTATCTTCCTTTAATTCGTAAAGACTCCAATAGTCACATGCTTGGCCTAGGCATTTACATTCGTAAGAATTCACCAATTTGTCGGAAAACTAGGTTTGAATCCACAGACTACTCTTTTATGTCCTTTCATTTAGCACCACTTCACTCTATCACCTTTCTCTTTGTTCTATATTGCTCTCCCTCATCTCAAGACTGCACTCTTCTTGATGTTATTTCTGATTATATTGACCAAGCTCTCATTCTTTATCCATCAGCCAATATTGTTGTTGTCGGTGACTTTAATGTTCCTCACACTGAATGGCTTGGCTCTACTGTCAGTGACTCTGCAGGCATTAAGGCCCACAACTTTTGCCTTTCACAATCCCTAACTCAAATAGTTAAACTTTCCAACTCGCTTTCCAGACAACCCGAACCTTATACTCGACTTTATGTCTTGTTTTTGATCCTAGTCAGTGCTCAGTTTCTTCACCTTTTTTACCTTCTCTACTCGACTTATGTCTTGTTTTTGATCCTAGTCAGTGCTCAGTTTCTTCACACTCACCCTTAGGTGCTTCTGATCATGGTTTGGTCTCTCTAAAACTATTATCTCATTCTTCTTTACTATCAGAATTCCCCTATCATCGTACATCTTACAACTACCTTAAAGCTGACTGGGACTCTTTCCGTGATTTTCTTTGCGATGGCCTCTGGGTAGAAATCTTTTGTCTCCCTGTTGACAAATGTGCTTCTTACATAACTTCGTGGATTCAGGCTGCCATGGAATCCTTTATTCTCTCTCGACAATTCCAGGTCAAGTCTCACTCTTCTCCATGGTTTTCCTCACATTGTGCTGCTGCAATTGCCAATCGAAACCATTACTTTCATATCTATCAGCAAAACAATTCTCCAGAAAACAGACGTGTTTTTATTACTGCTAGGAACTATTGTAAAAAAGTTTTGTCTAATGCCAAAGCCCGCTATACTCAGATCATAAAATCTCGTATTTTATTACAAAAATTAGGCTCTCGTGACTTCTGGAGAATCTTTAATAGTATCAATAATAAGGGCAAGTCTGTAATTTCACCTCTTTTGTATGGTTCAGACTTTGTCACCTCACCGAAAGACAAAGCTGAATTGTTTGCCAAGAACTTTTCATCAATATTATCTCTTGATGCCACTAGTTGCATTCTACCTGATATAGCCGTCAAACAGGTTGATCCATTGCTCGACATTCGTATCAATCCAGCCTCTGTATCTAAAGTGATTTCCTGCTTAGACTCTTCTACAGCTTGCGGCCCGGACAACATACCTGTTAAAGTCTTGCAGAGATGTTTTCTGGAGCTGTCATCTATCCTTTTAAAACTATTTAACAAGTGCTTATCAGAGTCTTAAACAATACATTAACCTATTTAAAAAACTAAAAAACAATATCCTAAAGTTAAAAGCTTTAAAAATAATCGTTCTAAAAGTCCAAATAAATAATTGTAAATAACTTGCATCAAATTACGTAATAACAATTTTAATAAATAACTTATTATTTATTTCAAAACCATTTTTTGTTTTTATTTTGTCTCAAAAACAATTTCATCGATTTTCATTAACTTTTTTCAAAAATAAATGAATATAAATCATATGCGTGATAAAATTATAAAACAAGAAAATATTGAGGATTGGCAGAAATTCCTTATTTCAAAAAATCTTGAATTAACAGATATATATTTTTTTTAGATAAACAAGGTAATAATGAATGTACTTTTTTTATCTTATCAAGCATGTGACTATACAATGCCTATTATTATGCTCTATATTAATGCCTATTAAAACTTACCTAAAATAGAATACAAAACTTTTTCAGAGCAATTTTTCAAAGGATTCAAGTTGACAAGAAACTTTAATAAACTATTTTGGCATATATTAGATAATCCACAAATCATCGATAAACAACTCTCCAGCTTTTTATTGGCTATAATCTCTTCACGACTTAAATAATTATATGCATATACAGATGCACAAAACTCCATTATTGTTAAGTGTGCAAATTGATAATAACATCCCTGATTTGTTTCAATCTTTTCTATAAATCCAAAAAGATTAGTTTCAATTTTATCAAAATCAATGATAAAAGTTTGAATTTCTTCCTCTGAAAAAATTACTTTATTTTCAACAAACAATTCATATGCAATTTTACAAATATTTAAAATATATTTTTTATTGGAATCGTCTTCAATTATCTTATTGATCAATTTATTCGTTTTTATAATGTGATTTTGAAAAAAGTATAAAAATATACTTGCATATAAATTTGTCATTGTTAAGAAAGAATTTTTATTCATTTCTTTTGAATCACTAATAATTTTACACATGGAACATAAATAAAATGGAACAGACGCCATGGCTTTTGCTATTGAAGAGCTGTTTAAAGTTTCTTTTACAACATCTTTTTTTTCATCTATAACTTTATTTTCTATATAATTATGTATTCCTTTTTGGTTAAACCCCATTATTTGAATGGTTAACTTATTACTATGCTCAGTAGATATACTTTGGTATTGATCAATTGCATAAACTCTACCAGCAACTACATATTTGTATTTTTGAACTTCTGTTAAAGCATTAACGATTGGGTAGTTACAACTTGAACTGCAATTTATTAATTCATTTAAATATTTAAATTCATCTAATCCATCAATTATAAACAGTGCAGAATGATTACTTATACTAAAATCATTTAAAACATCTTTGTAGAACACACTTAGTAATTCATTAATATTAGAAATATTTTGATATTGATTAAGCTTTCTGCATTCCATATAAAAAACAAGTTCAACATTTTTCCAAATTAAATCATTTGACCAATCAAGCAAACATTTTCGAAGCAACCACGTTTTTCCAATACCAGCTATTCCAGATAATAATATTACAGATTTTTCTTTCATAAAAATTTCACTATATGGAATTGGTGTATAGTTCATTTGCTTTTCAAGAAATTTTTTTCGTTCAAAATTAAAAACAAAATCCATTTGAGTACTAACTGCATCAACAATACATAGATCAACAAAGTTATCCATTAGATCAACATTTGCAGGTACTTTTAATGGTGGTTGAACTTCATTTATTTTCCCATAACTTTCACGATAATAATTTTTGAGTGCTGTGCACATCTCTGATGTATCTAAATGTAAATAATTCATCATCATTAAAATCAGATGTGCATATCTCAGATAAATTCAAATATATATAAATCATCATTATCATTATTTAAATATTTTAGTATGCACAGGTATCATAGTTTTGAATTGAGAAACAATACATTATAAACTTTACATTTTATTTCTAAAATTTTAATTTACAATTTGTTTGAATTCTTAATCATTTATTTATTTAGATTTTCGTTTTTTTATTTTGAAATAACAAAATTTCTTATTACATTTTGCAATTAGTTTTGTTTAAACAAGAAGCAATAGAAAGTCTGGATAGCCAATAATTACTCTTCTTTTATTGTAAAAACACAAAATAACTTGTGACAATTATTCTAGTAAATTAATTGAGTAAAAAAAAAAAAAAAAAAAAAAAAACATGTGGTTTTTCGGATTCTTTTTTAAATAACTTTATTATCCATATACCTCTTATCACTTACCATTGTACAAACCAAATGTTTGAATGTTGTGATTTTATCCATTATTACAGGGCCGATGACACAGGTTTTAAAGTTGGTGGTGTGTGTGGGGGGGGGGGGGGGGGGGGAAAGCACAATCATCATTTTGTGAAAAAAGTCGTCTATATTCAGTTTTTTCTTAAATAAATAAAAAAGGTCCTGTGGAAAATAAAAAAAAAAAAATAAAAAAAAATAAAAAAAAAAGGGGGGGGGGCGTGCTCCCTGCCCCCCTCCCCCACCATGCCATCGGCCCTGTATTACACCAAACATATGTTTGAATGTTGTGATTTTATAAAATATTACACCAATCATACATTGGAATATTGTAATGTTAGAGAATTTTAAAGAAAAATAGACAAACGTTTATAAAAATAGTTTTTATAACCCTGATCTTAATCATTGTTATTTTTAAACTATATTTACTTTATCTTAACACAAAACATGCAACCAGTATCTGGTGGATTTGAAAGTACTAATAGAAGAAAAAAAAGTTATCAAATCTGGAAAACTTCTCATTTAAGTTTATTTATTATTATGGTTATCTTCTTATCTAGCATAATTATTCGAAGGAATTGTTAAAGAATTTTATAGGAAAGGTTCAAGAATCTCATTCTCAAAGTTGAATATGAGATTCCTTAACTTTAGAAACATCTAAATACCAATTTTTGCATTTTTAAAGACTTCAAAGCACAACTTTTATATAAGTACATGTGCACTTTAAGCCTTTAAACAAGAATGTTTTTAATTCATATAACTTTGATGGTAAATGAACTTATATTTTAAAATTTGCATAAATAAAAAATTACTTAAAAACAAAAACCAAATAAAAAAACTGAAAATTTTAAAACTAATTTGTTAATCTGATCACCTTTAGACAACGTAAACATCAACCTAGCATTTTCTAGAAAATCAGAAAATAATGACAAATCAGCTAATTACTGTTAAGTATATGCTGAATATATATGAAATTCAAATTCTAATAACAAATAAAACAGTCCAAGTCTTTCTTGATTCAAACAAGCGTTTGACTTGTTTTATTAGAAGCAATAATAATTTGATTTTTCTACTTTAGATTTGTACTAAAGAACACTCCAAGATGTCTTTCTGTATCTGACTATTTCAACTACATACTGTTTTTTTTTAAGAAATATTCCTGTTGTTAAAGCCATAATGCATAACTACACATTTTGATATTATATATTGCAGAAGTTAAGAAAAATTTAAGACCTGTAGGGCTCGAATTAATGCAAAAAAAATTAATAGTTAAAAAAAAAATCACCCCCCTCATACCTTGCGTCTGCAGTAATGAGGGAGGGAGGGGGTTAGTGTTAATATCTTTAGTACTTAATTGTTATATTATTAAAATATTATCTCTCATATTTAAATATTATATTATAATTTTCTTGTTTGGCAGAGTTTAAAATAGCTTAAGTTACTGTTGTAATTTACAGCTTAAGTTATAATTTAAAGTTTAAGTTGTAGACGTATTTAATATTATTAAGATATTTATTTTAGTAATTGTTTTTATTTAACATGATACTTAAAAAAATGTAAAAAAGTATGAGTAAAAAACAAACATTAAAGTATTTAAACCACTGTAATTAGCCATAGAAATCTACTTAATAGACGATAAAACAAGTGTTATTTTCAAAGAAGATTTAATTGTTATTGTAAAAGGCAAAACAAAAATAAAACAAACTACAAAGTTGTTTTAAAAATAAAAAGATCTTGTGTTAGTTAAACAACTTCGTGATGCTGTTTCGTGCTGTTTTATACCCTTTATAACCTTAATAACATAAAACGCGTTTAAAATAAAACGAAGCAAATATATAAATTGTTCTAATTTATAAATTAAAACATTATTGTCATAAAACTTCATATTTGCGCAAAAACATGCGTATAGGCCATGTGAGTCTATAAATATATTTCTCCTATATTTTTTTAGAATTATATTTCCTTAAGTTTAAGAATATGCTTAAATTATTTTTGTAATTTATTTGAACAGAAGTAAAATAATTTTTCAATTTAAATTTTTATAATTTTTTTTTATTTTAACTTTTGCAATCACTGGTTTAATGTTTGCAAAAGAATGTTTCTACTTTTAAAACTATTTTCAAGAATCAAATATAATTATTTAAAGCATTTACAAAATTTACAATTTACGAAAAAAAACTTTTTTTTTAAGAAAATTTTTAGATATAAGTGTCGTCGGCCCTGCAATATAACTTTAAAAGGTTTAAGGTCATTAAAGCGAAAAAAAAGCAAAAGCAAAAAGAACAGAAGCAAAAAGAACAGAAGCAAAAAGAACAAAAGCAAAAACAGCATAAGCAAAAAAGCTGCTGGTTTCTGTTAGCATTGATTAACTAATAAAATTTTTAAAAATAAAAACAAATCAATATATATTTTAATATACTTAAGGCAACTTTGAATTGCAAAGTTGTTTCCCGTCATAAAAAAACATGGTAAAGTATGCGGGCAGGCGGCAAGTTTCCATTATCCATTATTTCATTATTTTTTTTTACATTTTTTTTATAGATATGTAAACTGTTAGGTTCTAGGGCTATTTTTCCGACCAGTGCACAATGGGTCGGATTGTAGACATGGTGGACAAAATTATTCTGCTCTTTTTTTCCATTACTAAAACCCTTTAAATGTCCAAAAGAGCACTTTGTATTAAGATATCTTTAATTTTATTATGAATTTTCGTTAAATATTTGATAATCCTAAAAATTATTAATCAAACTTTAAAAACGCGAATTTATTATGATGTAGATACATAAAAAATATAAAAATGTATACATAAAAATATATACTATTTTCAATACTATGTTAGCTAAGTTTTTAGCATATATATAATATATAAAAATGCACATGATGTTTAACAAAAATAAAAACTAACAACGCTAAAAAATCAGCCAACATTCTCCATTTTTATTTATATAAACTTTTTATGCGTCTTTTAAGCCTTTTATTGAAAAAAATGTAAAAACTACGCAAAAAACAAATAATGGACAAAATCAGATTATTTAAAAATATGAGGCGGGCGGGGACAAGAAACATCTTTGCAATTTATAGCGGCCTAAATCAGTAATATTAATAATATAAAATTGGTAATAAAATAATAATTTAAATTACTATAAATAAGTTAATTTTGTGAAACGTTTAAAAACCAAAACCAGGATGTTTTATTAAAAAAAAAAGTTAGTCGTTGTACTCAATTATAATTATATCTTAAACAATATTAGTTTCTAAATGAAATAACAATAAGTGTAAACAACAACAATATTAAACTATATAAAAACAATATAAAAACAAGAAATGACTAATGTCACAATTCCTCATCCCCTTTCATGTTTTTAATTGTCAATGAATATAAACATAATTTCTGGGTTCATTCCTTAAAATCATCTACTGTCAAAGATTTTCCGGTTTCTGGTTGGTAGAATTTCATGGGGATACGTAACCTGGATGAACGTTTCAATGGTTGATTTCCTACGACTTCAGTATTCAATAAGGGTGGTATTGCTAGGTGCAGCGAGCTTGTTGATAAAGATGTTGGCATCAATGGTAAGGGTAATGGAGTTGTTGGTAGAGGTAGTGGTGGTACCACTGGTGCTAATATAGGAGGCGGTAGCAATACTGTAGATGGTGCTAGTTCCGGTTGGGATAGTGTGACATTGTTGCTACTTTCTAGGACATACTCTGTAAATGGTGTTGGCGAATTGGCAGAGTTATAGTGACTAGAGCTTGTTTTTGGTGGTGTGGTCAATGCAACTTCGGTTTCGTATGACTTTAGTGGGTTGAGGAATTTGCGCAAATATTTTCTATTTCTCAATGTTAGTCGACCTGTTCCTTCAACCTTAATAATGTATTGGTCATTTTCCTTACATTCAACAACTTTTCCACTACGATCCCATTTTTTTAGGGTGGTTCCCTACTTGATTTTGTATGAAGACACTGTCTCCTTTATGTAGTGGTGTGAGAAAACGTGTGTGTTCTTGAAGTGATTCAAGGGTCTTTGCATATCTCGTTCGTAATGCTTCTTCTTTTGCAGACCATGCATGTCTCCACTTTTTCAAGAAGTGGTCGTTATTAAACATAGGTATTCTGGATTTTATCATTAGCATGGCGTCGCGAATGGGATGGCCAAATAATACTTGAGCGGGGGATAACTGACAAGTAGGGTTTGGTGTGTTTCTTATTGTAAGCATTGCCCTCACAAAAGAGATATTATTGAGATCACCGTTTGGTCCCACATTATTTTCGAGGAGGCGTTTTGTTGACTTAACTGCAAGCTCAGCTTATCCATAAGATTGTGCATGGTGGGCGAATGAAATGCGATGAGTTATACCCCATTGTTGTAGAAACTCTTTTGTCTCTCCAGAGGTGAATTGAGGACCACCATCGGTTGAAATTTCTTCTGGGACTCTAAATGTTGTAAATAGTTTACGTAAGTGTGTTGTTCTGTAGGCTTCAGTCCATCCAGAAAGTCTATCACCAATGACCAGATAATCCCA